AATGTTTTAAACTATTTTTAAAGTGTGTGTCATAGTTTGTGTGAATTGTAGAAGATGCATGTCTCCTTGGGAAGGAGCTTAATTTTTAAAAAATATTTTATCTATTATTTTATTTTATGTATATGTCTGTATTGCCTACATGTGTGTAAGTGCACCCATGTTGTGCAATATCTGAGGAGTTCAGAAGAGGGTGTTGGATCCCCTGGAACTAGAGTTACTGATAGTTGTTAGCTGCCATGTGAGTGCTGATAATTGAACCCAGGTCCTCTGCAAGAACAGCCAGTGCTCTTAAGCAGTCTCCAGCCCCCATGGGAAGGAACTTAATTTTTATGAAGAACCTGTGCTTTTATTTCAGCAACCATTACTTTGACAACGACACCATAGCTCCTGAATATATGAACAATGTCCTCATTCTCACGCTGCCTCCTGAAAATTCCATCTCAAATACCTCTTTCTCCAAGAATTTTCCATCAGTAAGTTGTATGTGTGCATGTTTGTATATGTATATGTAAATATGTATTAAAGATAGCATAGGGTAAGATAATTATTCTTTTTCTGGGGCGGGGGTCTTTTTGAGACAGGGTCTCCTGTAGCCCCAGCTGCCTGGAACTCACTATGTAGACCAGGCTGGCCTTGAACTCATAGAGATCTGCCTATTCCTGCCTCCCAAGTGCTGGGATCAAAGGCATGTGCCCCTACACCGAGCAGATAATTATTCTTTTACCTGGAACCCAAAGTCTTATATTTGCAAGTATGCCTTTCTTGTTTGTGTGCGCGTGTGTGTGGAGGTCAGAGGTCATCATGAGATGTGTTTTCCTCTACTGTGCTCCACTTTCTTTTGTGAGGCAAGATCTCCCACTGAACCTGGAGCTCACTGATTCAGCCAGACTGGGTGGCCAATGAGCTCCAGGGGTCCTCTTGTCTTTACCCTCCCCCAAATGCTGGGATTGCAGATGCACACCACCATACCTGGCTTTTTACGAGTGCTGGGGATCTGAACTCAGATCCTCATGCTTGTGTGGCAGACAATTTATTGACTAAGCCATCTGACTTAAGGGTCATCAACTAGCCCTTGAAAGTATATGTATGTTTGTAAAAATGGAAAAAAAAAAGAAAGTATATGTATGTATTCCAATTCACTCACCAAATATAAGTGACTCCTACTATGGGTATAGAGTTTTTTAACCAAAGGATCACCATTTGACCTCTTTCCACAAGTCACTGTGTTGACTCTAGACTATGATAGCAAGGGATTTATCTGCAACATCAGAATGAAAGTTGCCATATGGGAACATTGAGAGTTGGTTTTACCTTAGGGGAGGTAGAACCTAAAATTATTTTTTTCTTTCTATCTTTAAAAAACTTTTGGGAAGATTCATTTATTTTTATTTTATGTGTATGAGTGTTTACGCTGTATGTGTGTAAGTGCACCACATGCATGCAATGCCTGTGGAGGCCAGAAGAGGGCATCAGATCTCCTGGAACTGGAGTTACTGATGGTCGTTAGCTGCCATGTGGGTGCTGGGAACCAAACCTGGGTCCTCTGCAAGAGTAACCAATGCTCTTAATCTCTGAGCCAGCTCTCTAGGCCCTGAAGTAGAAATTTAATAGCATAAAATAAAGGAAGGGTACTGGAAATTTCTCTACATCCTAAAATAATTCTTTCCTGTTACCAATACCAAATTCTGCATTCAGAGGTAGCATAGCTGTCTCTGACATTATAATGTGAAGACATTATAATATAAGTCCATTATAACAAAGTCAACCGTTGCTCAAATGTATACCAGGAGACTCCTAGTTTCCTCCTATTATCTCGGTGTTCCATCTGCTTTGGCGTTTGTCCCAGAACAAGTGCCACCATTTGCTCATTAAATCATGGTCAGCTTATTATAATACAGAGCGCTTGACTAACAGGTTTTGTCAATCACTGAATTTTAACTTGATACAACCTGTCAGATGCCTTCTGTTCTCTAAAAGTTGTAGTGGGAAGAAGAAGGGGCGATCCGAAGACCCTCCCCGCACACACACAACAAACAACTTTGGGATGACAAGTGAAGGGAATGGCCCAAAAGGCTATCAGGAAAGGTGAACATCACAGTGTCCCTTTATCAGCTGCCTCAAGTGCTCCAATGTATGACCCAGCCAACGTTAGGGCTGTAAGCGCTTTTCATACAAGATCTTCACTAAATTCTGTTCATTACCAAACAACTTTGGGATGACAAGTGAAGGGAACGGCCCAAAAGGCTATCAGGAAAGGTGAACATCACAGTGTTCCTTTATCAGCTGCCTCAAGTGCTCCAGTGTATGACCCAGCCAGCATTAGGGCTGTAAGCGCTTTTCATACAAGATCTTCACTAAATTCTGTTCATTACATGAAATAATGATTTTTAGACCAACAAGATGGCTCAGCGGTAAAGAGCCTTGCTGCTGAGACTGACAACCTGAATTTGATCTCCAAGTCCCACATGGTGGAAGGAGAGAACTGACTCCCAGAAGGTGTCCTCTGACCTCCACATGCACACCACACCATGTTACTTGAGTGTCTCCGTGATCCCATATACACACAGACACACAGACACACTAAAAGTAATTAAATAATGATGATTTAGCAAAATAAATTGAAACCAGTAAAAGAGGGCTTATTTTTCCTTTTAATATCTTCTGCAAAATGTAATTCTGTGAGCACAGAACTTGAATCGTTTCTTGTCCCTGGCAGGAGGGAAGTCCAAAGTGCATGAGGTGACAGAATCTACCTGACTTCAGTGGAATAAGAGCTCTTGATTCATAGTCAAAAGCTCTTATTCCACTGAGTTTGACCATCATGCAATGGCGGCAGAGGCAGGAGAGTGCTAATTCTCTCCATTATTTTGTCAGGGAAGACATTTGGGGCCTGATACCCAATCAGAACCAAATTCAGTGGGTGTGATGCAACCCAAAACTCCTCACATTACGCCCAGGATACTGGAGGGCAGTATTTGGTGGATGAACTTTAATGTGATGCAACCACACATTACTTTGGGTGCTCTGATTTTTTCTTTTCCATTTTAATGAAAACAATAAATTACAAGCAACTGTTATTCGTACATAAAGTCCTATAAGAATCATAAAGATGCTGTATGCTGACTTTCCTGGCTACAGTTTTGTATTTTACCATCATGGGAAGGAAGTGTAACAGCTTCTAGATTCTTCTCTAAAGACAGGGTTCTTGCTTATTAATCCCAAGAAGGCAGAATTGTGACAGCGGATAGCAGAGCACTGACCTCACGAAGTATTTCCCAGAAGTCCCCTGAACATTATGCTTCCATTTCCCCTAACATTACTTCATCTCTCCAGTTACTTGCTGATCTATGGAACCTTGCTGTTTGGTCACATGCTGAAGATATTTCTGGAAAATGGAGAAGATGTTGCCACTTCCAAATTCGCTCATGCATTTAGGAATCTCACTTTTCCAGGTACTGTCTCATCAGAGCAAACAATAAAGGAGTAGAAGAGTGGTAGGCTTTGGAAAGGAGCTTTGGGAAACACAGGCAGGGTTTGGCATTTGATGGTTCAATCACTAAAGACCTTGGGACCCAATTGGAGGAAATGTCATTGTATAAGCTTTGGGGATGCTGTGATGGATAACTGGACTTCATTTTTAAAAAATATATTTCTTATTATTTTTATTTTATGTGTATGAGTTATTGCCTGCATGGAGGTAGGTGCATCCATGTCATGCAATGCCCAAGAGGTCAGAGAGGGCATCGGATCCCCTGGAACTGTAGTTATGGATGGTTGTTACTTGCCGTGTGGGTGCTGAGAACTGAACCTGGGTCTTCTGCAAGAGCAGCCAGTGCTCTTAACCACTGAGTCATCTCTCCAGCCCCAATGAGACCACATTTTATGCTATAGACTTGCACATACTTTGGATGTTGTAGAATGAAAGTATACATTAGGGTCTGCATTTTTTTTTTAAAACAAGCTCTCCCTTTTAAAAATATTTTTTTCATTTGTGTATATGTGTGTGTGTGTGTGTGTGTGTGCGCGCGCGCGCGTACCTGAGTGTATCTATGTGCACCACATGCAAATAGGAGCCTCCAGAGGTCTATCAGAAGAAGGCATTGGATAACTGTAGTTACAGGCAGTTGTGAGCCACCTCGTGGGTGCTGGAAATTGAACCCTGGTCCTCTGCAAGAGTAGAAATCTCTCTTAACTGCTGAGCCATCTTCCCAGGCCATGGCCAAGCTCTTAACAGTATTATGAGTAGCAGTAGTCCTGCCTGAGCTTGGAGACTAACAAGAAGGTAATACCTGCAGTTAGTTTTTTTTTTTTTAAATCATCATACAAAGAGGGTGAGAGAGATGGCTCAGTGGTTAAGAGCACTGGCTGCTCTTGCAGAGGACCCCGATTGGGTTCCCAGCACCCACATGGCAGCTAACAGTCTGTAACTCCAGTTCCAGGGGACTGATGCCCTCTTTTGGTCTCTATGGACATTGCAGATAGGTGATGCACTTACATACATGCAAGCAAAACACTCATACACATAATATAAAAATAAAAATTTTAAAACAGCATATACAGTATTAGATAGCATTGTGGCATTTTCAACTACCATGTGTTTTACTAGATTTTCCTTCCCACTCATCTCTCTAGTCCCTGGGCCCCCTGACCCTGCCTTGTTACCTCCTTAGGTCTCCTTTCCAGTTTCTTGTCAGAAGTATCCTTTTCAAACTTTTACTTTGATTCCTTTGTATCCCCCCCCCCCCCCGCCTTTCCTTCAAAGATACAGGACTGTGTTAAACCTCTGCTCCCTAAACTCCTCATACAATACCATTCAAAGCAGCACATGCCCCTCTCAACTGCTGGATTGACACACCCTTTCCCACAAGATCCTTTTGAAATTCATCTCTCTTTTCTCAGATCAGAACCTCAGGCAGAGGTTATAAAGAAAATTCATTTTAAGTATTTTTCTTAAAGTTTGCCCTAGGGGGGCTAGAGGCTGGCTCAGATGTTAAGAGTACCAGCTGCTCTTTCAGAGGAACCTGAGTTCAGTTGCTAGCACCCACATGGAGGCTAACAACCATCAGTAACTCCAGTTCCAGCAGATCTGACACCTTCTTCTGACCTCTGTGGGCATTACATGACATGGGTACACTTACATACACATAAAATAAAAATAATAAAGTATATATTTAAAAAGTCCTGGGAAATCTCTGACTAAAAGTAAGCCTTCTATCAGCTCCAGAAGGCAGAAGGTGCCTGACACAGTGTCTGAGGATTGCACCAATGGCTGTGGTTGACCACAGTGCTAGGAAGAGATGTCTTCTCTTATTCTGAAGAAGCTGGCAGAGGCAATATATATTGATCATCCCGTGTGTCCCAACTCTGCCAGGCATTTCATGAATATTAGTTTTCTTTCAAATATTTTTATTGATTTGAGAATTTTATAGAATGTATTTTGATCATATTAGACCCCTCCCCATCTCCACTCACACCTTACTGCCCCTGACTTCATGTCCTCTATTATTGTCTTTTTTTTTAAAGGCCTATCAGGTCTAATCTGTGTCTTTCATATGCTCTTGGGTGTGGGTCAGCCTACCAGGTGTCACATCAGTAAGGAAAACCAACTCTCCCTCTCATATCAAATGCCAATAAATCCTAAGCTAAGCCTGGGGCTTCCTGTCCATCTGCCCCTCCACGCTGGGCCCCTGTCTGGCTTAGGTTTGCACAGGTCTTGCGCATGCTCTCAAAAGCACTATAGGTTCATGTATTTCGTGCACATTCCTAATGTGTTCACAGCCATAGTCACAGTCAAGCATCCTAATGACCACCATTGCAGTTTAGAGCCAGGAGCCTATATGTGTCCTGGCTTTGCCCCAGGTAATTCTCTACCCTGAGTGAGTTTCTTAATATCCTCTAATCCAATTAAATTAATTCTCATCAAGCCGGGAGTGGTGGTGCACACTTGTAGTCCCAGCACTTGGGAGGCAGAGGCAGGCGGATCTCTGTGAGTTCAAGGCCAGCCTGGTCTACATAATGAGTTCCAGGACAGCTGGAGCTACAGGGAGACCCTGTCTCAAAAAGACAAAAAAAAATTAATTCTCATCAATATAATAGAATTAACAACAGTCATCTATCATGGTATTCTGGAGAGAATAAAATGGTAAATATATGAGTCATTTAGCACAGGGTCTGGTATTTAGTAAACATGACATAAGTGTTACATTTAAAAAAAATTTTAAGTTTACATTTATTTATTATTTTGTGTGTGCGCATGTGTGTGTGTGTGTGTGTGCGTGCGCGTTTGTTCGTGTGCTCATGCAAATGTGCCACAGTGTGCCTATGAGTTCAGAGGATAACTATGGGAGTTGATTCTCCCCTTCTACCATGTGGAGTCTCGGGACCGAACTTGGGTTGTCAGGCTTGGCGGCAGTGTCTTTACCTGCTGAGCCATCTCACCAACCCAAATGTTACTTTTTATGTCGATCACGTGAACATTTCCCACCTAATCACACATTCTGTATGGGAATTCTATATGCTATTAGTTTGTAGACAGAAAAATGGAAACTCAAACAACTTAAATGTTTTCGATGTTTTAACTAACAAATGCTAATGACGTGATTTTGTTCTTCTTAGAGTCTAGACCCTGTAGTGCATATACACTGCAGTTTAGTACATGTTCTCACTAAACTGTGTCATGAGCAATTGAGCAATTCCTCAACTGGTTACATTTATCCCATTCTAAATGCAATGAAAATTATTTTTTTCCTTCTAAATGAACAATGTATTCCATAAAAATGCCCTTTAAGGGGATGGAGAGATGGCTCAGTGGTTAAGAGCACTTGCTGCTCTTACAGAGAACCTGAGTTCAGTTCTCAGCACCCACATGACACTTACCAGCCACCTGTAACTCTAGTTTCAGGGAATGTGACACCCTCTTTTGACCTCCACAAACACCAGGCTTGCACCCAGTACACATACATTTTATATATATGCATGCAGGAAAACACTCATACACAAATATATCTTCTAAATATTATTTAATTGATTTTATGTGTCATGAATGCTTTGCCTGCATATATAAGTTCAACCACATCGTGTGATGCACCCGGAGGCCAGAAAAAGGTGTCAGAGCCATGTCTTAACCACTGAGCCATCTCTTCAGCCCAATATATGTTTTTGTTTTGTTTTTAAATAGTCTTTACAGATCACAGGGAGCAAGAACCACTTAAGGGGCCATCTGATAAAACATTAAGGGGAACAATTTTTCCATCAATTTGAAATACAGCAATTTGAATCCTTTTAGACTTGGTCAGGATCCATCTGGTTTCAGGCAGGGAGTCAAGGGTGGTTCCTAACACTCTGTTTTTCCCTAGGCTATGGAGGACCTGTGACTCTGGACGACTGTGGGGACGTCGACAGTACTATGGTACTTCTATATGTTTCCATGGATACCAGGAAAGTACGTCTGACCACTTACCACTTATCAGAAAATGTGGGATGAGGAGGGATAACCTGGAAGAGGGACAGCTGTGAAGGAATTAAAGAAATTATGTTTAGAATCTAAAGAAAAGTCATTTTAGCAACCTTTTAACACTTATATCCTACTTGGGGTAGTATTCCTTAAAAATGTTAGCCCATAGAACACCTAACTCAGAAATCTGTTCGTGTGTGTGTGTGTGTGTGTGTGTGTGTGTAACTCACTATGATGACTCACATCTGTAATAATCTCAGCATTTGGAAAGCTGAGACAGGAGGATTGAGAGTTAAAGGTCAGCCTGGGCTACACAGCAAGATCTTGTCCCAGAAAGTCATGTGTGTGTGTGTGTGTGTGTGTGTGTGTGTGTGTGTGTGTGTATCTGGTTCATCTGGAGCTCCAAGCTGATCAACAATTACCCTGTTCCATTGGGAAGTGTCATTATCAAATTCAAGCTTTGTTGGGTAGAATGGTCAATCTCATCACCAGTTATTCCAGTGTTTGCTCCTGTTTCTCTTTTTTCTTTTTTTGTGCCCTCACCCAGTACGAAGTTCTTTTGGCTTATGACACCCACACCAACAGAACTATCCCTGTGGCGACAAGCCCCACTTTCATCTGGAAGAACCACAGGCTTCCTAATGATATCCCAGGCCTGGGTAAGACATTCTTAGTGAGTTTTGTCTCTCTGACACTGTTTCCACAGTAAGAAATGTAAGGTCCGTTGTGTATGAAATTGGCTGATTTTCCTTTGGCTCTTAGCTCAGCCTAGAAAATGTGGATTTTACCTCCCTGCCTAATGAGTTATATGATGGTTCTGGTTAAACAGGACCGTATTCTAATTTAGTTATTCTAATAAACCTGCTTTGAAAGTGATTCCTATGGTTTGTTTGACATAAATTATCCCATAGAAAACAAGATTTGAAAATTGGCAAACACATAAGAACAGACACATGTACTTTACTCCGTATACATTTTACCACAGGAAACTCAAGGAATATTCACTGTATCCCAACAAGGAACATCTGGCATATGGGGTTGAGGGGTGAATTCCTTCATGGGACACTCATGACAGTGACGGTTACCCAAATAAGATGAAAAGCCTTAACATGGCTAGGTTTTCACATGTACAGGACGAAATGATACTTATGACATTGACCCTGCCTACCGTCAGGGAAGGCTGGTCAGATGTCCGCTGGGCCATAGGTTCTCAGCACAGTCTGTCCCTGATGGGTTTGGTCAGGGCTTAACATAATGATCACTAATTCCATATTACTAATCTGTCCTTAGGACAAAGATCTTAAATTTAGACAGTAATACTCAGAGATGCAAAAATGTGAAAGTACTTTTAATGATGTTTTAGAAAATTGTGGTATATTTATAAATGGGCGCCATACAACTCATCAAAAATGACTTTTCCCAAAGAATTTTAAATGGTAGGAAACAACACCAAAGAGTAGGAAAATGCAATTCCTCATTTAATGAAAATCTAACCATTTCATAAAATAAATGTAATACTAGTACCACTGAGTGATGAGGTCCTGGAAGAATATTTTCTTTTTACAGTCTCTCAATTTTCACAATGACTGTATTTATCACTTAAAAAAATTTTTAAATATATTTTATTTAGTATTTTTATTTTTTATGTGTATGAGTGTATTGCCTGCATGTATGTGAGTGCACCCATGTCGTGCAATGCCACGGAGATTAGAAGAGGACATTGGATTCCCCTGGAACTAGAGTTAAGGACGGTTTGTAGCCACCACGTGGGTGCTGGGAATCGAACCCAGGTCCTCTGCAAGAGCACTCAGTGCTCTTAATCACTGAGCCATCTTTCCAGCCCTCATTTATCGCTTTTTAAAGTACTGAATTAGATGCTAGAGATATTCCTAGTCCAACTATGTTCCATGGCCAGAACACTGGAAGTGTGATCTGCTTTAAAGAGAACATCACTGGTCCCATGTCTAGCTTATATCAAAATTATGTTTCTAAGAGTATTTTGTCTCATAAGTCATAATAGGGTCAAAACCATTTCCTGTGCTTCACTCAAAAGACATTGAGTAATTGACTTAGAGCAAGGGAAAGGTACAGGTGGGATCATATTCTACTGAACAGTAAATATAACCCAGTGCTAACTTCAGATTCATGGCTATTATTTTTTAAATACAAGCTTTTTGTATATTAACTCTAGAACCATCTTCAAGCTTCCTAGTTTTAAACCAGTCTTGACTTCAGAAATATCTCTCTCATATGGTTGGAGGATAGATCAGTGGGCAAATTGCTTGCTGTGCAAGCATGAGATCCTGAGTTTGGATCCCCAGAAACCACCTAAAAAACAGAGCTGGGCATGGAGGTACACATCTGTAATCCCAGTGCTGGGGTAGGTGGAGGGAGGTAGATGCCAGGGGCTCCCTAGCCAGTCTAGCTGAATTAGTGAGCACCAGGTTCTCTGAGGAACTCTGTCCCAAAAGATAAAGTGGGGAATGATAGAGGAGGACACCCAGGGTTGACCCTGGCTTCCACACACACACACACACACACACACACACACACACACACATACACACACACACAGAGTCAGATACAGACACACAGAGACAGACACAGACACACATACACATACGCCCAGACACACACATACATACACACAGACACATACACAGACACACATTGACATACAGAGAGACAGATACATACAACCACAGAAACACACTCAGGCACATGCACATACACAGACCCATGTATATATACAAACAAGACATACACACACACACGTGTATCTCCTCACACACACACAGACTTAAACATACAGACACACATACAGACACACACAGACACATAGACTTATACACATACATACACACATACACACACAGACTTATACCCATACAGACACATACACAGACACACACAGATACACATATTTATACACATACAGACACACATAGACACACAAACTCATATACATACAAACATACACACATAGACACAGACTTATACACATACAGACATAGACTTATACACATACAGACACACACACAGACACACAGACTCATACACACAGACACACAGATTTATACACATACAGACACACAGACTTATACACATACGGACATAGACTTATACACATACAGACACATACAGAGACACACAGATTTATACATACAGACACACAGACTTATACACATACAGACACACAGACACACACAGACATACAGACTCATACACACAGACACACACAGACACACAGATTTATACATACAGACACACAGACACAGACACACAGACACACACAGACACACAGACTCATACAGACACACATAGACACACAGACTTATACACACACAGACACAGACACACACAGACACACAGACACACAGACACACACACACACACACACACACACACATACACGAAATACCTTTTCTCACAGGCTTCCACAACTCCCTTCTTCCATTAGGGAATTTAAAATAGTTTTTTCTTTGACCTGATTATAAGTCTCAGGACATACATCAGATTTTTGGTTTCAGCATATTTCTGCCTCTGTTGCCACCTCCCTGGGGCAGAGTGAAGACTCACCTCTCACTAACCCACCCCCAGGCACTCTACCCCCAGGGTAAAGTCCAAATGACTTCACAGGGCCAGTGAGTCCATGATCTTCCTCTTTCACCTTCTGGAAACCTCTTCCCTGCTCTCAGCTTCCTCTCTTCAGAGGCAGCCCACTCTATGCCCTTGTTCCTGCTACGCCTTCTGACTAGAATATATCACTGCCACATAAAACTGGCAAACATCCACCCCTCAAGATTAGCTGGGAGAGGGTGGGAAGGTGGCCCAGTGGGAAAGTGTAAGCACCAGAGTTCACGTAAAGCAGGATGTGGTAGTGAATCTGCAATCCCAGGGTTCCTGTGGAAGACATGAGGTAAAGACAGGAGACTCCCCAGAAGCCCCCAGACCAGCCTGGTGTGTGTACAGCTTCAAACTACAGAGACCCTGCCTCAAACAAGGTGAAGGTGAGGACTGACGTGATGTTTTCTGACCTCCAGGTGTGGCAAACAGACCTGCACACATTGATTCCTTTTTTTTTTTTTAAACTGGGATTTGAACGTGGCAAATCTGGCTGTAACATCTGTCATCACGTTGATCACCAGGGTGGGTTCAGCTGATTTGGCTGGCCAGACAGATGTGTACGTCCTCCTTGACTCCTTCCAGGAGGTGTCTCTTGGCTGAAGAGGCTAGCCTCCCCGACAAGGGGTGCTACCTTCACCAGCTAGACCCTCCAGACAGGTTCTCCAGGTTCCACTGGGCTCTTACCTCTCTTAAGCTTTTTCTCAGAATCCCAAGAAAATATCAGTCTTGTCTTTGACCTACGTGATCTCTAACAGAGCACCACATCGGACTTGCTGGCTTACATGTCTTTTCTACTATGAACTATGTGGGTGTAGGGTCTATTCAATCCCTTTGCCCCAACGCAGTTCCGTGGGATAATTAAATGCATGAATGAGTGACGGTATAAGATAACTGTGGTTATATTTCTATTCTGGACTAGAGCACTAATCCATAGTGCTTTAATTTCATGTGAGTGCCGGCACGTTCGGGGTAGCATGACTGCAGACTATTGTATTAATATCAGTCAGTTTATTTTTATTCTGTAATTAAGAGATTCTTCCTCTGTTGAAGTAGTGTATTTAATGTGTTCCCTCCAACTGTAATGTCGTACGAACTAGTTATCACGTATGTTCATTGTGAAGCAAGTGGCATGTAGTAACCACAGTAGCCACTAGAGGGCAGAAAAGGGTTAGCCTTAGAATTGTGTGATCCTGACTTAACCCAAACCTTTGAAGGGCATGTTGAGGGCTGCAGAGACGGCTCAGTGGTTAAGAACACTGACTGTTCTTGCAGAAGACCTGGGTTCGTATCCCAACACCCACATGGCAGCTAACAACTGTCCGTGACGACAGTTCCAGGGGATCCGACAGCCTCTTCGCCTCTTCTGCCCTTCGTGGGCGTTGTACAACACGGGTGTATTTACCTATAAGCAGGCATTAACACTCATACACATCAAATAATAAAGAAAACTTATTTATTTATTTTTTTTAAAAAAGGATGTTGAGTTTAAAACTACTGCATTTAGCCAGGTGTGGTGGCTCATACCTGTAATCATAGCATTTGGGAAGCTGTAGCAGGAATATTTCCATGAGTTCGAGCCAAGCCTGGGCTACATAGTAAGTTCCAGTTCATGATGGTGTACAGAATCCACCGAAGGAACGTGTCCACAAATGCGACCTCAAGTTCTGAGGCATATTTCTGTCCAGAGGAGAGGAGAAATTCACAACTCACATTTTCATTGTTGAAATCATCCTCTCAGAAGAAAAAGAGATAGTTAACAACCCAGGCACGGTCGGGAACTAGCAAAGCAGCCCTTAGGGGAAGGGATCGGTGTTTATCTCAAGCTAAGGCTCTATGAAAGAAAAAAAGAAAAGGAGAAGAGGGAGAGGAGGGGAGGGCAGGCGGAAGGGGGAGGGAAGGGAGGAAGGAAGTAAAAACTAAAGGCAGAGAAAAGAAATACACACAGCCTAGGTCCTAGCACTCAGAAGACAGGCAAGAAGATTTCTGTGAGATTGAGGCCAGCCTGGTCTACATAGCAAGCTTCAGGCCAGCTGGGGCTACAAGGAGACCCTGTTTCAAAAAAATAAATAAATAAAAATAAATAAATAAGAAAGAAAGGAAGGAGGAAGATGACTAGTTCATTAGAAGGACATAGTATGATGAAATAAAAATAGATTAAAAATAAATGTGGACATGTGGACATGTGATAAAAGTTCATGGTAGAGAAGTTTATATATACATGTGTGTATATATATATATATATATATTTAATAACGAGAGTTAAGTTTTTATTCAATTTTTTATTTAGTCATTTTAAATTAATAATTTACCAAGTATCAGGTCTTGCGCTGGGGGCTGATGACTAGTAGTCAATGGGTTGTGCCTGCAAGGATTTTATATGTCCTGGTGTCATGTTAGAGAAGATTGATTGTGGGGTGTAGAGTGATGTGCTACTTTAATGAGAGATCTTGATGTCTCCTAAAGGATCTTCATTGATTACTTGAAACTGATTTTTTTTTAAATTAGGCTGTTTCACTTTGCTTCATTTTTAGACTTTGTCTTTCTTGAAAAATTTCCCTAAAGTTACTTCTGATCTCTCTCTCTCTCTCTCTCTCTCTCTCTCCCCTCTCACTCGCTCTCTCGGCTTGCTAAAAATTCTCTAGTAGGGGAGAATACCCTTTAACTCCTCCTCCTAAGTAGGGATGCTAAGATGTACAACTAGAGTCACAGATAGTCCATCAAGACACCCTGAGAAGGAAGAAGCTTGAAGATAGGGCTGCTGCCATTGGTTGTTATTTTATTCCAGAAATTGAAAAAGCTAAGATTAATAGGAATTAGCCATGATCTGAAGCACCAGAAGTTACTCTCTGTGTGTGTGTATGTGTCTTTCTCTATGTCTGTATGTGTGTCAGTATGTGGGTGAATGTCTCTCTGTCTCTCTGTCTCTCTCTGTGTCTCTCTCTCTCTCCCTCTCTCTCACTCTTTCACTCTCTATCTCTCTATCTCTCTCTCTGTCTCTCTCTCTGTCTCTGCTATAAGGAGGAAAGTCATGTCTCCTTCACCATATGTCCAGTATCTCCCAGCATATACCCACACCACACATACACACATGCACACACATACCACACATACACATGCACACAAACATAAACCACACACAAACACAAACCACATATACAAACATACCACACACATGTGCACACATCACACATCCACATACACACATACATACAAATATACACCACACACACATACACACATACTAGTATTCCAACAAATTCTGCAGAAACACTGTACCACAGAGTGTAGCTAGAAGAGGCTTTAGAAACCATCTGTGCCAGCAGGTATGGTGACACATACCTGTAATCCCAAGCTGAGGCAGGAGAATTTAAATCTGAGGCCAGCCTACACTACATAGTAAGACCCTGTCTGAAACAAACAAAATGTTATTATTCTAATAAATCTTTGTTGTTCTTCCTCAATGACCCAGAAAGCTTGGAAAGAAGCAGCACACAGCATTGTGGTTTAACAGTCTACACTAATTTACTTAGAATGCATATTCTGCATTTAAAGACTGTCATCTCTGTCTTCCTGTACAGAACTTCCTTAGACACAGGAATTCAAGAATGCTAGGCAGGACTGGAGAGATAGCTCAGTGGTTAAGAGCACTGACTGTTCTTGCAGAGGACCTGGGTTCGATTCCCAGCACCTACATGGTGGCTAACAACTGTCTGTAACTCCAGTTCCAGGGGATCTGATGCCCTTTTCTGACCTCCATGGTCATTGCATGACACAGGTACACCTATCTACATGCAAGCAATACACCCGTATACATGAAATAAAAATAAATAAAGTATTTTTTAAAAAAAGAATGCTAGGCAGGCTCACCCCCACCCCCACTCCCTGCCCCCTGCCAAATTATTTGTGTGCTGAAAACTGCTTAATGTTTTAGTGACAGTTGGCGTCTTTGGTTAAAAATGAAGAGATACATAACCGCACCTGGTGGCACACAGCTATAATCTCAGCACACAGGAGGGTCACGAGTTCTAGGCTAGCCTGTGCTACATAGCATGCCCCAGAGCAAGAAAAAAACAAAGAAAAAGATCCTACGAGGGTGGCTGAAATGGGCACACACAGCAGCTTTCTTCAGAGACTGGGGTCACTGGCTGTATATCAGCAAAAAAGAGATTACTGAAAGATCAGGCCTTTTCAAAGGGCTCTTCCTTTCCCTGCCCTCAGATTACATGATACAAGTAGAATCTTTGAAATGCATTGTGTTCCTTGTAGGTCTTGCTAATACCTTGCCCATTGCCTTTCCTGTGCAGGCCCTCAAGTCCTGATGATCGCCGTCTTCACACTCACGGGGACCGTGATCCTGTTGTTGCTGATCGCTCTCCTGGTGCTCAGGTACCTTACCAAACTCTCTCTCCAAAGATGGAGGAAGGAGAGGTCTAGCACCTGTTGGTGATGCTCATTGCTAAAGACTTGGGATCTTGAAGCCATTCAGCATCAAAGGCTATGTCAAGGGCAGACGCTGATGAGATGGGTAGATTAGGACTCTCAAATGAAGGCCTATAACTCAAATCCCAGTTCTGTGATCTACTGGTTGTGAAGTCTTATACATGCTTAAGATGCTTAGCATCAGTCTCTTCCTCTGTGGTGTTAGGAAGCTTAGAAAGGGCTCTGTCTGTGTAGAGACTGTGATATTTTAGGCATTATGTAAATGACGATAGCTCTCTTCAGAGTTCTATTCGTATACTGTGGGAGACTGCGGCAGCATTGCACAACACGGTGTGTAGGCTGGAAGAGGCTTCAGCAATTATCTATGCCACCAGAAGAATGCAAGTTTGAGGCTAGTCTGCACAGCATAGCAAGACCCCGTCTCACACAAACAAACAAACAACAAACAAAGCAAATCAACAGCAAAGAAATCCTCTATTCCAAATACCTAAATATAGCACAAGGGAGAAGAAACAGAATCAGTCCACCGGGTGGTGACTAGACCAGTCTAAAACTCAGTTTGTGTATGTTAAACACAGGACACTCTATCCAATTGCATTATTTAGGATTGCCTGCATGTCCTAAACCAGACAGAGTTTTCTGTGTTACACACTTTGGTACTTTCTTAAGATGCAAGTGCCCAGCCTGTCACATGTCATAAAGGAAGTAGACTGATTTCTTTGCTTGCTCTGAAGGCAGAATTTGTGTTCTGAAATTGTATTGCTTACAAAATACAGATGGTCTACAGCTTTGACCATTGAATTAGGTGAGAAAAAAAGTCCCTCAGAAACCAAGCCCGAACGGGTTGATCAGCTTTCTGTGGGGGTGAATCCCAAGATAAAACACCACATATTTCTGGTTGTCTGTAACATGGAGATAGAGGTAGTGCTTCCAAATGGCCAGTCTCCACAAAGAGACCTGACAGACAGATGGTGTGTGTGTGTGGTTTTCCACTCAGAACCCAATGCAAGAAACAGAGAATGATTTCTGGAGTCCCTTAACCCAATATAATTGACAGTCAGCTCTGTTTAACTCCAAGAGCCTCCTGGGGTGCAGAGATGACAGCCTGTCAGCCTTCAAGGTTTTGATATTTATCTCCCTTGGCTCGGGGTCTTCTGGTCTCAATAACTGGTAGGTGAACTACTTCTTTATATGTACTTAATAAAGGACTGCTTAGAGGTAGACGGAAGTAGAGGAGGAAATCAATCTTTTTTACTTAGGGAACACTAAGAGGGGCACAGTGAATGACCTTGAGGATGGAAGTTGGAGTTTGTCAAATGACAAAAAAGAAAGGATAAATTCAGAAACAGACAAATAGGTCAATGAAAAAAATAGGGTCGAGGCCAGGCTTGGTGGCACATACCTTTAATCCCAGAACTTGGGAGGCAGAGGCAGGCGGATATCTGTGAGTTCGAGGCCAGCCTGGACTACATAGTGTGTTCCAGGCCAGCTGGGGCTACAGGGAAGCACTGTTTCAAAAAGACCAAAAAAAGAAAAAGAAAAAAAGAAAAAGAGGGTTGATTCCAGAAGAAGGAATAAGCAGGTTCACTAAGAGTGTGACAGAGGCACCTTACAAATCAGGTAGGAAGTGACGTGGGACAGCTGGCCTTCCACATTCAAAAACAGAATTAAACCTACCTGAAACGATATACAAACATGCAACCCATTCTATGTGGAGCTTTTCTACATGAGAAAAATCAAACTTCAAAATTTAGAAGAAATAGGGCTGAAGAGATGGCTCAGTGGTTAGGAGTACCAACTGCTCTTGCAGAAGACCCAGGTTCAATTCCCAGCACCCACATCCATAATTCCAGTCCCAGGGGATCCGATGCCCTCCTCTGCCCTCCATGGATACTGCAGCACGTGGGTGTGCTTACATACATACAGCAAACATTCATACACATAAAATAAAAATAAATAAAAATTTAGAAGAAATGAATACAAAATGGTTTTATGAACGTGGTCCTCTGTTAAGACAAAAGAGACAAGCCACAAAGGAAAAAAAATGTATAACTATGGCTATATAGGCAACAAAATTAAAGGACGGTGATGCCAAAGAGGGTATTTGTATTCCAAGAGGAGACAGGATTTGTTTTTCAGAATATATAAACAAATTCACTGAAGGGGCTGGGGAGATGGCTCAGTAGGTAAATGGACTTGTGCATGTGGAAAAGGCCTGAGTTCAAATCCCCAGAACCCATGCAATGGTAGAGTACATATGTAAGTTTAGCATTCCAACAGTGAGATATGAGGTGGAGACAGGAGAATCCTCAGAAACTCACAGATCTAGCCTTCTTCACAGCAGAGAAGAAGAGATCCTATGTCAAGCAATGTGGGAGGTGAGGATGGACATCCAAGGTTGTCCTCAACATCCATGATACACATGTGTGTATGTGTACACCCCACCCCCAAGATTAAGGAAAAAATTCACGTAAGATAATAACAGAAAATTATACAATAAGGAAATTAAGAAAATCATAAACAGCTCTATGTAACTCTGTGGTGTCATATATTCTGTAGAATAGCCAGCAGATGTTGGGACAGTCACCTCCACAGAAATCAAACAAACGTGGGGCTGGAGAGATGGCTCAGTGGTTAAGAACACTGGTTGTTCTTGCAGAAGACCCGCGTTCGAATCCCAGCACCCACATGGCAGCTAACAACTGTCTATAACTCCAGTTCCAGAAGATCCAACAGCCTCTTCTGTCCCCCGTGGGCACTGCATGACAATACATGCACTTACCTACATGCAGGCAGTACATGCATATACATAAAATAAAAATAATTAATAAAATATTTTTTTTTTAAAAAAAGAAATCAAACACTAAATGAAACAAGAAGGAACCACCATTTTGCACACGCCATAGTTTTGTTTTAAAGGCTTAACATGAAGAACACAGGAAACATGAGTTCTCAAGTTTGGAAGCTAAACCAATGCAGCTTTTGTAGAAAGGAATGTGCTGGTATCAGTGAAGTTGAAAGTGTGGTCCTCCCCTGTCACCCACGAATGCTTCATCTACAAAACCTGAAGCAAACAGTTATAAAACTCTTATTTTTGCACATTGGAATAAATGCCACCTTTTCTTTGTACTTTTCATTTTCTCTAATTTTTTTTTTTTTACTTTTTTTTTAAAGACAAGGCCTCATGTCGTCATAGTCGAGGCTGGCCTTGACCTTGCTATGCAGTCAAAGACGACCTTAAACTCCTGATCCTCCCCCCTCCACCTTCTTGACAGAATTCACACTCTTTTACATTGACCTTTTTGTCTGTCCCTGAATTTTTTTTTAATTGTCATTTGACAAACTCCAACTTCCATTCTCAAAGTCATTCACTGTGCCCTCTTAATGTTTCCTAAGCAGAAATAATGATTTTCTTTGCTTCTATTTAACTCTGAATATTCCTTTATTAAATACATATAAATTAGCCTATCACTGACCAATTACTAAGATATTAAGACTCAGAGCCAAGGGAGATGAATATCAAGACACTAAAGGCCTTCAGGCCTTCATCTCTGCACCCCAGGAGACTCTTGGGGCTAAATAAAGCTGTCATCCGTATCAAATGAGAGGACCCACTCATTCCCTGTTTTTCTGGCATTGGTTGTTAGACTGGAAATCCACACACCCCCCCCTGCCGCTCATCTGTCTGTCAGGTCTCCTTATGAGTATGAGTCACTAGACTTAACTTTTTTTTTTTTTAAGTTAAGACAAGGGGCTGGCTTACTTAGGAACCTATCGGGTTCACTGGCAATTTGGAAATTTGTATTTTTGCCTCTCAAGGTTATTAGTTCTTTTTACCCTCCTGCTTTTGCTTTTATTTTTTCTCATTCTTTCCATCATTAGGTTAGATCCTTTCTTATAGTGAATGACTGTTTTAGTGAAGGACTTGGGAAAGAGAAATAAAAAGAAAGAATAGAAAAGGCCACAGGGAAAACTTACAGGCCACCCATGACTTCTTACCTGTTGGGAGCACGTGGGGGCATGCGGAGCCACACCCTTGATTGGCCTCCTTCCGTATAAGCTGGCCTCAGGACACCAGGGTCAGGGTCCTGTATTGCTCCCTGTGTCTGGGAGCTGGATGAAGTAGATGCTCATAAACATCTTCCGAGGCTTCTGTTCCTTTCACAGAAAATACAAAAAAGATAATGAACTTCGTCAGAAAAAATGGTCCCACATTCCTCCTGAGACCATCTTTCCACTGGAGACCAATGAGACCAGTCAAATCAGCCTGAAGGTAAGGCCTACTTGATCCATGGATGAATATATGAGAAGACTTTGGTAGTGTGGTACAAAATGTGACAACAGAGGCTGTTTAGTTAGTTCTGGAATCCAAGATATGGATACTTACTAATTCTTACCTTCCTAGCTTGCCGTTGATCTTCCATTGCCCTAAATACCAGTCCCAAGGACACTTCAGTAGAAACCAAAATACAGTATGTTTATTAGCTACTGGACTCTGTTTGGTCACTGTGACCAAACACTTGACGAGAAGCCACCGAAGAGGAAGGGTCTGTTTCCACTTGTGTTGAGTTCCAGATCCTGTCCATGGTGGCAGCAGCTTCCCACAGGGTTTGCTCTTCTTAGTGTACCCAAAAGGAGAGCAGTCAGGCCAGAACCCACCCAAGGTACAACCCATAAGGCTTGCCCCATTCCTATTTCCCCCAGTGACCCAAAGGGACTTCAGCTGAGTCCTACCTCTTAAAGGTTCCAGAACCTTCTGGAATAGCACTACCAGCTGGCACCAAGTATTCAAACACATGAGCCTGTGGGAGGCATTTCACACTCATTCTCTGCATCCAACCAGGAAAAGAAATTTGCATCAGTTCCTCTAAACCTTGATACCAATCTACGCTTGCTAAGCATTGCCTCTTAACTTTGCTCGTACTGAAGAAAGAATTGTCTCTGCTAAGATCTGTCCACAGCTTTCCTGAGTTGGGAAGTCCAACCACTAGTCAGTATAAACAACTCATCCCCTTGACTTCAACCAGTGAAGGGAACTCATCTACTCCTCACAAGGAGCCAGTGAGTTAAGATTTATCATTGCCTTTGCTGCCGAGAAGGCTGAGAGACAAAGGATTAAGAAACAGTGTGTGGGAGGAGGGGCTGGAGAGATGGCTTGTTGGTGGTTAAGAGCACCGGCTACTCTTATAGAAGACCTGGGTTCAGTTCCCAGAACCACGTGGTGGCTAACAACTGACTGTAACTCCAGTTCCAGGGAATCTGATGCCCTCTTCTGGTCTCTGTGGGCATTGCACACATTTGGTGCACTTATATACATGCAAGTAAAACACTCATACACATAAAATAACAATAAGTTAAAAAAAAATAAAAAAGAAACAGTGTAGGGCCACACATAGTTAGATTACTACAAATAATGTTACTAGACAATTATTACAGGCCAGATGCATTAACCCAGTTCATCCTCTCCTGAGTCCACCAGGCAACAGGGATGGAATTCCAGAAACATGGCTACAATTTGAACCCAAAGTAACTGCAAACCCTAAGCTCATACCACCTGATATATGCAATATAATTATTATTTGTATACTAAAACACACTAAGAGGAGACAAAGACCCAGGGTCATGAAGGAGGAGAAGGAAGAGGAGGAAGAGGAGGA